TTTGTTTTTGAATGTTTGATTTTTTTGTATCTTGTTAATAAAATCCCATTAATATTTCTAATGTGTGATGTGTTTTTTCTCTGACTATCCTGAGTGACAGTTAGTTTAGTGCAGCGAAGTTTTATTCCTGTTGGAGTCTGACAGTGAGCTTGAGCAGGACACTGGATCTATGAAAGCTCCAGGGCTGCTGTTCTGTGGTTAAAAGTGACCAACCCCACCCTGTGACGGGCAAGAAGATAGAGATTATTCAGCGGGAACAATAATGACAGTGTCAGTCCTCGGAACGGTTGGGAAGAGAGTATTGTTTGTAGTGGTGTCTATTTTGAAGAGCACAACGGAAGCTCCAACCTGTAAACTAGCTGCTTTGTTAAATTAGCCTCACTGGTACACTCACTTTCCGGTTTTGTCAGAAATGTTAATGTAATTTTCAAAATAAAGGCGAATGTATTCACTGCCACGGGGCGTTAATTATAATCTATGCCATAACCAGCAGAGCTGAATTACTTATAAAACATTAGCCTCGTTGTAATGGAATTGTTGACTGAATAATGGCAATTTAAAAGTGTAATTAAGTGATAGTTACACTGGTACTCAAATTATTTTGAAAATAATAAACAGGATGTTGTGTGCTACTTTTGTCAACTTTACACAGTGTGGTTACAGCGGATTCACGTCGCCATGGCAAGCCGAAAGACTTCGCCCCAAAAGGGGGACAACGGGGACAAATACTCAGTACTGTTACCTACCTACAACGAAAGGGAAAACCTCCCTTTGATAGTGTGGCTTTTGGTCAAGTACTTCGGTGAAAGGTGAGTTCCGGGTCGCTCGGAGAGGTGCTCGGCTAGTGCTAGCTAACGTTACTGCTGTGGTAAAGCCAGTCAGTGATGAGCTGTCACTAAACCGGACAGAGTTACGTTGCTTTCTCTAGCTAACTTGTGTAATGTTAACGTACTTGTCAACGTGTGTGTGTGTCAGGTGCAACATCGACTGAACCAAATAACAACATTCATCTTAATTTGTTGTATTTACAGTGGATATAACTACGAGATAATTGTCATTGACGACGGAAGCCCAGATGGGACACTGGAGGTGGGAGAGCAGTTGCAGAAGATTTATGGGGAGGATAAAATAGTAAGTTAAAGATCCCTCCAGACACGTATTAACACATAACATACAGATAATATGTGTGTCTGGTGTGTTTTTATCACAAAAAAAGTCTCCACATTAAAATCCTTTAGAATACATCTTCTCCTTCTAGCCATTAGAAATTCCACAATCTATAAATATGATAATCCAGTTTTCCTGCTGGACACAATATGTCTCCTACTTCACTATAAAGTTTCTACCTCACACTGTACAGTTGATACGGGACCAGGACTGACTTCCAGACTATTTCATCAACTGATTGTTTAGATCTGATTCACAATGTTGAGCCATCTACCAGGTGCTTTTAGTAAATGAATGTTGCATAGGATCTTGATGCTGACGGTTAATCTGTCTTTTCTGTGGCTCAGCTTCTACGACCAAGAGCGAAAAAATTAGGCCTAGGTAAGTTTGAAACTTTGTATAAAATGGTGGGTTCGTTCATTCTAGTAACCTTTGCCGACTCCTCATGAGCTCCTGTTTCCCCCCAAAGGCACTGCCTACATCCATGGCATGAAGCACGCTACCGGGAACTACATCTTCATAATGGACGCAGATCTTTCCCATCATGTGAGTGGAGCTTGTTTCATCAATCATTCAATCTAGGGGCTGTATCCAACAATTATTTTCATTATTGATTAGACTGCTAGCTACCTTTCCGATGAATCTTGTAAAACATTAAGAAATGAAATATTTAATTTCTTACACACAATTTCCAACATCATGTTTTGAATGTTTTTTTTTAATTAGTCTTTGATTTAACGGCAATATTATGTGAAGTAATACAAGTTCTGTGAGTGATATTTCATTTTAAACAGCATATTTGATTGTTCTCTGTCACTTTTTTATTATTTCAGCCCAAATTTATCCCAGAATTTATTGAGTAAGTGTCTCTAAATTTCACATGATGTTGTTTTTTCAACTGTATTTCAATTTCTAGAATCAAAATCAATATTCCAAATACTTAAACAATAATATTTAGGCACACTTTGAAGAGAGTATATATCCTTTAATTAAGACCATTTTCTTGTTTGTCAGAAAGCAGAAGGAAGGTAATTACGACCTGGTGTCTGGGACTCGATACCAAGGGAACGGAGGCGTGTACGGCTGGGACCTGCGCAGGAAACTCATCAGGTAAGTCTACAGCGGTCTTCAATTTTCACTCCCTCGTCTCATGCTGACCCTGAATTCAACAGGCAAGAGGCTGAGGTTTGATTTTCTTTTCTCTTGTTCGCAGTCGGGGGGCCAACTTTTTGACTCAAGTGTTGTTGAGACCCGGCGCTTCAGACCTCACAGGCAGCTTCAGGTAAGTGGTGCGAGCGTTGTGAAACAAGTGCCAGTGACGTTTGAGTTGTGCGTGCGTGTGTGTGCGTGCTGCTGTGTTTTCTCATACTCCTGCTGTTTTTCCTCTCACTGATGTCAGGCTGTACAAGAAAAAGGTGTTGGAGAGTCTGGTGGAACGGTGCGTGTCCAAGGGGTACGTCTTTCAGATGGAGATGATCGTCCGCGCCAGACAGCTCAACTACACAATCGGAGAAGTATGTGCATGTAGTTTTCAGATAAATCCTAAATGTGGACCCTGCGATTACAGATTAGAAATCAGTATAAGCCACAAAGACACACAATATAAACCCACCCTCACATTAATATCCCAGGCTTTTATTTGTTTCAGTCACTGAACTCAACCTGATTTCATTTGGAATAGGATTCTATTTGGGACAGGCCTTTAATTCCCTTTGCACAAAACTCTTGTTCAGCAAATATGGAAAATACTATCAAATCCTTTATTGAAACCAGTATGAATATTACTTGTATAAAAAAAATGAACTGTGTATTGATTGAATTGTGTAGTGAATTGTTTGATTTGTAGGTGATCATAGCAGCATAGAACTCGCTCAAGCGGGCATCACGGTGGATGTTAAGAGATTTTATACATTCAAAGAATTTCTATAAAATCCAGACCATGCGTCTAATTAAGATCTGCGTTGATTTGTCAAAGTGTGTAGCTGCACCAGGCTAGTAAAGGAGACCTGTTTCTAATTAGGACCCTGCTTTTAATGAAAGATTTATAGTATTTGTCAAATGTGGACTAGATTACCAGATTGACTCCAGAGACTGTAAAACACAGTGTAACAATTGTGAAACCTTTACTCTATTTGGGAAAACAGAAAACAGGGCAAAAAACAACACGTTAAATCTCCAGTGGCTGGGTTTAGAATGTAAGACATGTCACCAATTGGCTTTTTTTTTTTTTGCTAAATCTGCTGGTCAAGTCAGTTACAACCTGTCAGCTGGTTAAAGAGGGCAGAGTTTTAGGAGGAGGAAAGAGAGGATCACCTCATCAAGTTAAACCACAAAACCCATGGACGGCTCCAAATTCTCAACCTTCTCCTATTAGAAAATCTTCAGAATTCCATGTCTATATACAGTAGCCTGTGTATTGTTTTTTACGCATATTTGTCTGCAAAAGTCAGGATTTAAAGAGAAATTATTTGCGGTAAAGGGTGCGCATGTTTCACCCATGCATAGAACTCCTGCAGAGTTTTTCGACACAGGAAACAGCGATGGCAGATGGCGAGCTTGTGAAATTAGCTCAGTCCTCAGATGGAAAAAAGCACAGGTTAAATATAAAATCATCACTACATTTCAGTGTATGCCTACCTCTAATTGTGGATATATTTATTATTATTACCACTACAAGTATAGGCTAAACAACAATACTAAACACTGCTCTGATCCATGGAACTGTTCTTCCGTATAATCTGGGTGCTGAGAGAGCGCACCCACCTTCGGATAACATTGGCTGCTCCATCTTTCCCTCACAACAAAGGCATCTTAAAGACGCCGCCATATTCATCATCTATGAAATGGTTAATGGTGACCATTTCAGGTCTCCCTCAGAAAGACCTGGTTTCACTGTGATGTTTAATGCTTTTTTTTACTAGAACCGGAGCAAAAACTGCAAATCTGGCAAGAAATATCATTAAGTTCACCGTAAATTCCCCCTTAACCTCTGATCAGAAGCTTCAGTGTTGTGTTTCTCTCCTCTTCTTCCAAACAACAGGTGCCCATTTCCTTTGTGGATCGAGTTTACGGAGAGTCTAAACTTGGAGGGAACGAGATTGTGTCATTCGTGAAAGGACTACTGACGCTCTTCGCAACGACATGACCAGCGACACACTCCAGTTTGGGAATCCCACGGTTACATAGAATCCCATTTGCTCTTAAAGTCGCTGTATTTAATACAGTAGTTGTATCAGAATCTCAGTGGAGGGAAAAAGCTCCACTTGCCTGTGGTCACACTGACATGATGGCAGATGACAAGGCAGACATCTCTCTATCCTGTTAGCGACAAATAGAAAACAATTCCCTGTCAGTAGCCGTCCTGACTGAAGAAACATAGTGCTTTACATTCCCATCATCCTCTCTAATGAATTTTGAGCAAAGCACAGTGTCTCATCCATTCCCAAACCAGACAGCTGAGCGAACTGTGCAGTAACACAGTGTCAGATGGGTTTAAGTACGCACTGCTACACCTGTGATTGTTTGTATCAAATTAAACACTTGCACATTGCTGGCGTTGTGTTTTTCTGATTGTTCTCCTTTTTTATTTTTTCACAATGACTCACCAACAACTTCTCTTATTGATATCCATTCACCGAGGTCAAACCTGGACCAAGTGCAAGGGACTGATGGTCTGAGCGCAGGCAGGTCAGCTAACACAGCTCTCTCCAAAGATTTTAACCTTCAAGAGCTTTCAGTCAAAACCATGTGCAACGACGCCCTTGGGCCATCCCGGACCATTATAATAACGTCCTCCACTCATGTAAACCATTAAAATGAAAGCCAAAGGTCCCGGCTCACCGCAGGTTTACCTAACAACAAAGTCCACTGAACTTGGCTTCTTTTGAAATTTTCAACCACGTCTCATGGTGCTGAGGCAGTAGTAGTCAGCAAGTACTAGCTTGTATATCTCTCTCACATACACTAATGCAGTGGGTCTCAACATTTCTGGAATCAAGGACCCCCAAATTGATACACATTAGGCTGTTGTCCTGTATTTGATAAGATGTAGTCTCAGGGATCCCTGTCTGATGAGATTGAGTTATTCCATAGCTGTACAGTGAAGAGGCATATGAACAGTCGTTATTATACATTCTCTTATTGGACTAACTTCCAGTCAATGAAATAATGGTGAAATTAAAGTACTCCCCATTTTTCGGGCGTCCCCCAGAAGAACCCCCAGGGGTCCCCAATGGATCCAGCATTCACCAGAGTATGAATATCAGATGGTACAGACATTTAAGATCACATTCTCCTTACGGCAGTGAACATGTGTCCTGTGGAAGACTGGATTACCAAGCAAGCAACTGCCCCAGGACCCTGGACCTCACCAGGGGGCCTGCAGGCACCAGGCTCACTGTGTTTTATACTGGTTTGTGTCTTTGTGTTTATTTGAAGGTTTGTTAGGGAAAATGCACCGTAAAGCATCAACTGACACGTTAAGGTGGCTCCGGTGTCAGAGTCAAGTCTTTCACTGCATGTTCATAAATCAACACGCTTAATCAAACCACACAGCAAACCTGGAAGACTGGAAGGGGCAGGAATGGGGGGGTGGGGGTTTGGCTCACTTTGATGAGTGATGATGATGATGGGAGGAAGGCAAGAATCTACCCCAGCTGATGAAGAACTTTCACCATCACTTTAACCATTTAATTGCAGTGTGACACTGGATTCAGGGCTGGTGTACAGTACTGCTCTTGGAGCTGCCCTACACCAGCCACCGTACAGGAAAGTAGTCCCGGTCAGTTTGGCAGAATTGGGTAGCATAGTACAGCGCCACCTACCGTTGGTCCAACCGTTGATCCCAGTCCAGCTGAGTGCTGAGGCTCTGTGTACATCCGACCCTCCGCAGGGGAGGGGGGGGGGAGCTGCCAGATGTAGCCAAACCACGCATGCGCAGAAATCGGAGAGGCCCACTCCAGTAGGACGCCCGCTGTCGGCCAGATACCGCAACTACTGCACCGGGTTGTTTACCCCACAGACTCGAGCACAGAAACCAAAGGCCCACCGCAGGTCTTGAGGGAGGAGGTGGGTTCCTTTTTTTTTTTATATGTATAGACGTTTGCTTAATTGGCCAAATTGATTGATAGACCAATCAAGAGTTTTAATGAGCAGGACCCGCGAGGATCTCACAATGAGATTATTTATGCTAATCAAGTAGATGTCACTTCCGCCCCTTTTATTTGCGCCATTTTGGATAGGGCAGTTTCCAGGCTGGATGTGTATTGTCTGTCAGAGAGGAGAATGGGTGAAGCGTTATCGGCTGCCAGCCAGTCATAGGCTCACTTTAGGCTATTTATTTGAAAGAGTGTGTACGCCGGTAGTTGTTCCCAACAACAGGACATGTGTCTGCCCTCACCACTACACACAATGGAGGTTTTAATTGTCTAATGAGTCTCGGAGGCTTGCTGTTCCCGTTTGCCGACCAGAGGGAAGAGGAAAGCCCTATTCGGCGAGGGAGAGTCGGGTTTGGAGGATAGACGGACGGACAGCCGGGCGGCTGGTTCTCCCGCACCGAGCTAGTTGTCACCTGAAAGGATATTACCGAGATATCTGGGGAAAAGTGGAAGTGTCTGTACATTGCCTCAGTCACCCTGAGGTGACACATTTCACTGAGACGGGAGCGCTGGATGTGAACGCAGGTAAACTTGTCTGTCATAATGTATGTATATATATATAATAATAATATTATATAACGTAAACCGTCAAAGGCAGATAGTTTGCTGTTAGCCGCGGCTACCTGCGGGGATGAGCGATGGGTGGTGGTGAACTACAGCTAAGGTAACTTGGCTGTCGGTAGCGTTGTGTTTGTGTGAGGCAGGGGGGCTCAACGTAGCCTCAAGTTGAATGACTTCTCCGGTGGCTTTAGTTTATAACAGCCCCGATATGAAATGCAAGCGAATTCCCTTTTGTGGGGAATATCAGAGACACAAATGGCAGCATTACTTCTTCAACAGCCCATGTTGTTGGTGCGAGTTGGCTAGCTTAGCATGCTAACTCAGCGCGGTGGTGTGTCCCCAATTCTTTGTCAGCGGCAGCTGACTGCCAAAGCTATTGATCCGGATACTGCCAGATGTTGATCAGAGATTAGATTCACTGACACCAACGTAACCACACGGCACGATTTGGCTGCTATGTCCTCTGCTAAAGCGACAGCGACAGATCTTGCGAGTCAACGTCTTCAATAGGAGGAATGGTGTGAATATTCAAAGTGTATCTACTGAGAGTTTTGTCTTGGGGACACGCGATACATACTCACAAACACAGGCAGATTGTTGCACAGAATTCATAATCGTTGTCCTCTGATTAAGCAACCCCCTCACAGGGGATCAGAATATGATCAGAGTTCAGGCAGGTGACACCGGGGTTGTGATGCACTCACACCTCGTGCTTTGATCCGGGGGGAGGAGGGCTGTCACTTGATCAGGACAAGTGTCAGACAGTGATCAGCTGCACAGACAGCCCCCCACCTGTATGGGTAACAGCTGCAGACAGGTGTGGAGCATATAGACACAACTAACCCCAGTGGACCCCAAACTTTTCTGTTGTGGGTGTGAATATGGATGTCACCAGTATGTTCTCCCCTCAGTAAACATCTGGACGTTGGAGGAGACGTGTAAACAGCAGCAGTCAATCAGAACATAGGTTATGATGTCCCAGTGGAGGGAGGACTGAGTGAGCGTGAGGAAATCTGTGGTTGAAGGTTTGTAGGCCTCCTTGTTTTTTCTTTTTCACCACACAGTAGAAGGGAAACCTGCTTTCCGCCAGCAGCCCTCAGCAGAGCAGCCTCCTATCGCCTTTCCTCCCTCTCCTCTTCCTTCTCTCCCTCCCTTCCCTCCCTGCTCAGCCTCTCCTTGGGTTTTTTTTTTTTCTCTCTCTCTCCTTTTCTTCCTCCCACCC